GTTTGAAATTGAGTTGATGTTTACTTTGAAAATGTACAATATAAAATACAAACACATAGCGGTTTTATGTACACCTAAGTGCACGATGCACTTTTATGAATAATTCACAAGCGTATTTAGATTACACATAATATATCCACTATATCATATGTTTACCAAAATAATACATCCAAAATAACACAATTTTTTTATCAACTGTAGAGTAGACAATTCCATGATAATCAAAGCCACTCTGGGGGCATGAACATGACGGGCCTATGGAGATAAAAACTTGTGAATTCATTCAATTGAACTTTGGGGACAACATTTGCGATTACCACCTATCAACAAACTCACAGTGTAACTTAGAGAACTAAAACCCACCAAATGAAACACACATAAAAAAATGCATGAAATGATAACTCGTTCTTAGAGGCACTATGCAATTTAAAAAAATTGAATATTGATCAAAAAAACAAAAAAAATGCAAACACTGAATATGAATGGTTAATTTAATGGATGGTTCAAATTATGTAATGCAATAAGGGGTGGGTTGCGCAAAGGGGTAGGGTTGGGAGGGAGAGAGATAAACATTTATTTAGAAAAAAACATGACTAAAATAAAAAATTCTTATCTTTATGTTGGAAATGGCCTAAATAAACACAAAGAGTTGAAATTTAGATTTATAAAACCATTATTGTAAACATATTTGAAAACCCAGTTGTTCTGAACACACCTAAAATGCCTGAGCAGCCCTAGTCAAAAACATCATTGAAGAACACAAACTTAGAGAGTCAAAGGTCTCTTACAATTTTAATGTGTTAATCCCAAACAATTACCTTTATGTTGATGACCTCCTTGTTCTTTCCAATTGTTTGACCTTCTCCAATAGCAACCACCTCACCTCCTTGAGGGTTGAGACTTTGTTTGTGCTGTTGTTGGCAGTAAGATACCACCTCCAGTCTTCTCCTCTGTAGTCTTAATCTTGACCAACACTCTGTCACCCAGGCGGTTAAGTGAAGTGTACTGCAATCAGAACAACACAACAAATGATCAGAATATGTAAATGAATCACATAAAAATAGGGCAAATACAATTCTCCTCAGACGTAATGTATTGACAANTAGGGGGTTAAGTGAAGTGTACTGCAATCAGAACAACACAACAAATGACCAGAATATGAAAATGAATCACATAAAAAAAGGCAATTACAATTCTCCTCAGACGTAATGTATTGGCAAAGTGAATCAAATAAATGAAACAATCCCATAAGATAAAGTCTGAGAGCGTGTGTCAAAAAATAGGAACTAATTCTAACTAATAAAGTCTCATGTAACACTTAAAAGAGAAATAGGTGAAAGAGCCTCTATAATTACAGGAGGAGTGTTTGAAACAGCAAGTCTAGTGGACCAAAACCTTCTATAGATTCACTGAATAAATGACATGTACTAAAGGCGACCAACATCGTAGCAAGTAGGAATAAAAATGAAACGTTACATATGAGCAGAAAATAGAAGTCCTTAATCCTAATAGGTTGCGTAAAATGGGGTAATGAGCCAAAAAAGAGATAAAGATAAAGACCAGCAAATCAAATTTAAAAAGTGGGGGTCGATAAAAGATATATCATCCATGCAATTGTCAAAAAAATAGACTTCAACATAAACAATAACATAACACAAATAAAATTGGAAAATTATAAGAAACAAATTTTGTTCATACATTCAATGTATTCCTTCATGAAATGAACCTGTAGCAAGGGCTGAAGCCTAGGCTAAATAGCGAGGAAAGAGCAAATGTTTTGAAAAATGATCATTTTTAGAGCTTTCCACTAAATGTTTTGCATGTGGTTTAAAAAATTTGTGTGATGTATTGTGGGAGTGAATGAGGAAAAAGGTGTTTATATTTTTATTTTTTGTAGATGAATTTAAGCTAAAATGAACAACCAATCAATCAATATAAGTTACAATTAACACCTGACACCTAATTTTGAAATTTGGAGTGATAGTATGAGAACATAGAAAGTGCTTTCAAATTTCGATGCCTCTTAAACATTTTGACAGATGAAATGTCTAAAACATCTTGAAGCCAATATCCAGATCTCATTAGAGACACATAAATCACTACACACATATAATTGTAAGAGAACAATCATGGAGCCATCATTTAAGCCAAAAAAATTTCAATTTTAGCTCGCACCATACTCCTGCACAGCCGGATTAAAAATTTTGATCTACTCCTTGACAACCCAATTAAAAAATTCAAACTACATATAAATTCCATAATTTTGAAACGGCACTATATTTAACTCCTTGAGATCACACTCAAATTGAAAACCATCTTAACTAAGTAAGATAAATTGGTTACAAGAACAACAATTTCAGTTTCTTCTAAATCGATTTGTTGCCCTCAAAACAACAGGAACCATTCAAAGTGATTCTATGATTCAAAAGTAGTTCCAATTATCAATGCAAATCAATGTCCCAAGAACAACTTGCATACCAAAGAACACTAACAAATTATGCATTACAAAAGCAAACACTAATTCAACCAACCTTGCTCACAGTACATCAATTTCTCTGTATAAATGCTATCTCCATTGCTCACCTTAAATTGGTGTGACTCAATCTACAGAAACCATAAAAATCATATTACGCACACACAAACTTTATTTCAATGAATTCACAAACAATGCACATATCCCATTACTCAAATTTAATAGTTTGACATTCATGAAATCAGTTTTTTTTTCTCCATCAGAATCTCCTCTTGAATCATCTTTCTTAATTTAATTCTCAAAAGCCCTAATCACGACAAATGTGCACACAGAGGAAAATCACACATGTGCAAACATAGAAAGATCAATTGCATATAGAGCATTTGTAGATGCATAGAACAGACACACAAATACACATTGTATTGCATACAAAGTATTCGTCACATAAAATTGGAAAAATAAGAAGAAACAAATAAATGATATCTAGATTGCTTCAGTGAGTCAAAGGTATTTGATAATGCCGATTTCATTGATGCCTTGATTTCTTTAGATGGTGATGAGATGCTCGAAAAAAATGATATAGTTGTTGTGATAGTAGTGTGGGACTGGGGTGGTGGCAGATCGTGAAGAGAGAAAGGGAGACCTGTGAAAGAGTGGTGACGGAGTTTAGGTCGTTGTGGCCGTAGTGGGCTGTGGTAATGGTAGATCGTTATCGTCAGAGTGGGTTGGCGTGGTGGTAAGGGCAGAGGATTAAGGAGTAGTGGCTATGATAGTGGTGTGGGGCTGTGGTGATGACAGATAGTGGGTAGAGAGAGAAAGAAAGACATCTGACATTGAGTGAAGGGTAGAGAGAAAATTGGATGGGATGGAATTTAAATTTAAAATATTAAGAGATAAAATGTTAATTTTGTACTGTTGGCCGAATGAATTTAAGACCGTACCTATTTTATATTATAAATTTTTATTAGACTGTGACTTCACGTGATAATAATGACGTGGTATCGCTATTACACCCGATACTTTTTCATAGATCATCTCCAACTTTTACATTTTTTAAACTCAAATTTATATTTAAGTAAAAAATAATTTAAAAAACTTCTCTAATACTTTTAAATCTATACCAAATTAAGAAAAACTCAAATTTTTGTTCAAATACTCAAATCATCAATGGTTATATTTTATTTTTTTAAAGATCTAATGGTTATATTCTATCCTACTTTAAATTTAAATTTTGTCCTCATTTAAATTTGGGTTTGTCTTTCTTTAAATTAAATTTCTCCATTTGAGAGGTCTTAGATCAAATCAAAATTTTTATTCTTTTTTTTTTTCCCTCAAATTTTGAATATCCATTAGAGATGGTCGGTTATCCTATACTATGCACAGAATTTATAATATTTTTTCATTCAACATCTAGCCCCACCTCATATTAAATACTAACAATTGCATATGCCTAAATGCACTATGTAGCAGACAAACAAATCGCAAAAAAATGTTTGTGCCTAAATGCATTATATAAAACAAAAAATCGCCAACTAGAAAAACTTGGAAAAATCACCAATTAATATCACCCCACAATTTTTTTTTTTAAAATATAGCCACTAGAGTTTCTTCTAAAAGCATGCCCTTGGATAATTATTTGTAATTTGTCGATCACCACCAACAGCTTTTGCGTGATCCCAACCAATGTCGTGTTGTTTAGGAGTCATTCTACAATATCACAAATTCCAAATAATTAAATAAGTAACATGCAAGTGATTGAAATAGTTTAAATATAAAAAAATGTAATTGTAACATTTGCATCTCTGGAGGAATCAAACCCAAGTGCATTTCTGCCTCCCTAGAGTAATTTAAATATAATTGTATCCCAATTGAATTATTACTTTTATGTTACCTCTAAGACAAATATAAAGATATAACCCAAGTGCATCTCTGCCTCTCTAGAGTAATTTAAATATAATTGTATCCCAATTGAATTATCACTTTTATGTTACCTCTAAGACAAATATAAATATATAAACATATAATGTAAAACAACATGTTAGAGCCTTGGAGGAGTCGAATCAGTGACCTACAATATGACACTTTGCAACTGTACCCAATTGAACTACCACTTTTATGTTATTTTTAAGACAAACATAAATATNGGAGCCTTGAAGGAGTCGAATCAGTGACCTACAATATGACACTTTGCAACTGTACCCAATTGAACTACCACTTTTATGTTATTTTTAAGACAAACATAAATATATAAACACTCAGTTCAAAAAAAAAAAAACAACAGACAGCTCTTAAAGAGTTTTTTATTGCTTTCCCTACCCACTTTACCTCTTCGGTTCAGAGCTCTTCAGACGAAGATTTCACTTCTCACTTCTCAGTCACGACAACAGAAAGAGAAAGAAAGGTGCAGACGGAGAGGCGACCACGGTCCCTCACCGACAAAGACCGAAGAAGATCTTCTTAACAAAAACTCGAAAAAGATCGTCTCAACAAAGAATCGAAGAAGATCGTCATGACAAATAATCGAACAATGCAAGACCAGATGAAGAAGAAGAACAATACAGGTATGTCAAATCATTACTATTCTTGGTTTTTATAAGGGTTTGCTGCTTTAAGATTCATGTGATTTCTGCAATTTTCACATNGTTACTATTCTTGGTTTTTATAAGGGTTTGCTGCTTCAAGATTCATGTGATTTCTGCAATTTTCACATGGGTTTCGAGTCTTTCGACTGATAGTGGGTCTGCTTTATTTCCCATCTCCTTTTTTTTTTTTTTTGGATTTTTGTTCAATTTTCAGAAAAATGATTGAGAGTTTTAAGCTTTTACAGAGGTGTGGGTGACACGGGTGTTGGACTTTTTCGCAGATATGGGGGGATTTTACTCTTTTTCGTAGATATGGGGGGATTTTTTCACTATCGTGTTAGACTCAAAAAGATTCCGATAGGAATCATCCGAGTTGAACCGATTTATCACCGACACGATTGAAAAATGGTCAATCTTGAGATTCGTGTATTATTATCGTATCGTCAATTTGACCCAGCCGATTCCTTGAACCATGCATTCTATGGGCTTGGGACTTTGGTTTGTGAAGAGGCTGATTTATGGTATACTTCTAGATCTTTTTGACAAAGGCATCATAGTGTGTTTCGCTAAATTGTTCTTTTTCCTTAGCTGTTGGATTTTTCTGTTTTTCAGTTGAACGTCAATGTGGTGCAATCAGGGCAATTCGTGATGTGGAGGTTGAACAGTTACAGACTTGGTTGCGTTTGCTCCGCTCGCATTTCACCGAGGAACAGCTGCAGATTCCTGTACTGAAGTTTTTTAAAGAAAACCTTCCAAATCTTGCAGTTTTAAGTAATGGAAAAGATGGACACTATGAGGTCCAATGGAGGGATAAATATGGTATATTCATGGACCAGGCTGATGGAAGAAACATACACTCATCTCTTCTACATCGAATGTCCATGGTTCATCCCGACTGCTCTGCTACACTGCCTTCTTTTAGTGGCTTAGAGTTTTCAAGCAAAGCAGGTACTAGTAAATCTCTTTAGATGCATAAGACATATGACATTCGGATTCCTTTCATCTTATGTGAGTTATTTGATTGGTGGCAGTGAAAACAAGCCTCCTTGGTGCTGAGAACCCACAGATCGGGGATTTTGTATGTCTTTTTTGAGATTCTTGGAACATTTTAAGGGTTTCTAGTGTGCTTTTTCCTTTACCTGCTTATTTTCTATCCCTTGCCAGGGCACTCCCCCCATTTGTCTTCTTCTTGTAAAGGATCTGTTTCATATCAAAGTATAATGCTTATGAAATTTCATTTAATTGATGATAGAACACTGGTTAATAACGTTTCTGTGTCCTATATACATGAACCTACTCAAAATATACTTTATTGTGCAAGATGTTGTTTGTTCATTTCTCATCTCTCATTTAAAAATTTCTTTTGTAGGCTTTGGAAGAGCCATCCAATTCTCTGATGTGTGGGTTGCAAAATGCTTTCCAAACACCTGGGGTATGTATCTCCTTGATATGCTTTGCTTAGCTGTTTATTGTATTTCAAGAATCCTTTAGTTTCTATATTTTGAATCTTAAAATCAAAATTCATGTTTCGTTGCTGAAGCTAATAGTGGAAATCAAAGTCTTGATGTCTCTAGTGAGCTTCAAACTTCACTTTCGTCGATCCAAAATGAAGACCTGGAAAAATTATCCAATGGGCATGTAATATGTAAAAATATTCTGCCATCTTGTCATGACATGTTGCGTGCCCTTTTCTATTGTCATAGTTTTTGAAATCGGGCATGCAGTATTTTCAACATTGAGCTTTCTTCCGTCACTTCTGTAAAATCAAAATGGCTATCACTTCATCAGAGAATCTCATGGGGAAAAGGATCACGAAAAGAAGTTAGGGACAGTAGTAAGATGCAGAATATTCCCCTTGGAAATGCTTGTAAATTGATCTCTCCAATCTTCAGAGTTCTAGAAATTGACACACAAAATATTACGTAATAGAGAGTAATGAAAGCTGTGGCATTATAAGTTCCTTTGTAAGATGTCCGAATGATTGTTCTGTGTAGCTAAACGAAAACCTGGATGGCTGTCATGTTTGTTTTTATGGTATTTAAGATGCCTGTAGTAACTTGGTGGCTGAAATTCTAGTTGCAGGCGAATAGTCAGAGGTTATCTGTTGGGGTAACACCCAAAACTTTAAGGCTTCCAAAGCATGGTGAGATGCTTCTGTCTGTTCGTGGCTCACCCCTAGGCGTATTTAAAGAAGACAACATGGAAGCTTGGTATGCTTCTCTATTAAATTCTGCATTACATCCATGTCCAATTCTGTATTATATCCATGTCACAGCGTAATGGGTAGGTATTCTTCTCCAATAATGAAAATGGTTTAGATTTTGTGATACATATCTATGGTAATACAGGAGATAAAGCAGTAAAGGTAGAAAAAACTAACTTTGAATGAAATAGTGAAAAAGATATAGTAGGTTACGGTTTAACAGTAAGTATAACTCTTGATGGAGCACAATGGAGGATTAAATTCATGTAGCAAACCTCAAATAGTTGGTATAAGTGCTTTGTTAAGATGAGTTGAGTATATTATTTTTCCCTCCGTTTTATGTGTGTGTGTTTTTTTTGGATAAGGAACATAATTTTTGTATTAATAATAGAGCAATGCTATTGGAACATGATTTGGGGCCTTAATGATTATGGCCATTAGATTGTCAATAGGTCTCAGCATTAAATGCACTCCATTATCAATCTAATGGTCACAATGCATTAAGTCCCCAAGTTATCTCATTAAATTATGTCCCAATAACATTAGTGTTAATAAAAAAGAGGTTAAGAGATCCAACTAAGAGCAATACATTAAAAAACAATGTATAAAAAAGATCTTATGAATTACATGAAACTCTCCATCCTGAATAAAATAGCAAAAAACAGAATTCTTTTGAAATCCTTTAAATTCGAAATCCAAAAAGATGCTAAGAAATGAATACGGTTTCACATTCCATGCACGCACTTGCACCAATCTTTAAAATTCTTACATTCTGTTCTTTCCAAATAACCCAGAACTTAGCCATTATAGCACAATTTTAAAGAGTAACACCTTTATCAAATCTTACCAAATCTTTCATATCTTGGACAAACACAGAATGTGCACAAATATGTTTCGATGAGTGTGAACAAAATGCTTGCTAAATAGTGTACTAGAGAGGATGATGCATCTTTAATTCTGATATACTGCGTCTTACTTTTGTTTTGTCATGTTTACTCCTAATGCAGAATCAGAAGAGGATTAAGTGGCTACCAGTTGCTCAACTAAGTTGCAGTGGTCAAAGAAATTGTTGTATTGCCAATTTGAGACTGGTCTGTATGTTCTTCTGTCACTGTATCCAAAGCTTGTCCTGCAGATTGCTGAATCTCTAGGTCTTTACTTATACAGCTAGCATGCCATGACATTGATTCTCTACATTTTGTTTGCCATTGAGATGCCTATCTACATCTTATTCTTGGAATCCATCGTGAGATGTTCACAATTTTGAAAAATGATATGAGGGTTCATATTAGATATCCTTATGGCGTATGAGATGTTCACAATTTTGTAAATTAATAAAGGAGTTCATATTATAAGTGTTGGGCTACCAATCACGAAGTTGTGGATTCTAACCAAATGCTAAGTGTTAGGTCTATATTAACAGGACCAAGGAACTCTTCTTTTCACTTTGGTTGTTATTTTTTGTTCAATAATACTATTTAGACTCAATTTACTAGCATAATTTGTTGATTCAAATGGGAGAAGCTAGACGTCTAGTCCCCAGATATCTACTGCACTTCTGTCAAATATCTACGGGATGAACATCTCGGGATTGGTTCATGCGTTCGGGTCTCAACTGATCACCCACATGTTTGCGAGAACTCAGGATTTTCAGGGAGTATGAAAGCCATCAACAACGTAGTCTTCCATGGCCTCATGAGGGATTAGTAACCTGAATGCCTCCTTGACAACCATATTGATGAGGCATTTCCAGAAGGGTCTTAAATCAGTGACACGTGTTCTCGGCCCGGAGGCTCCCTGCGTAAAACTTAGCTCTAACATGACCCTTGGCTCCAAGATGTGTCCCCTCGATCTCGACGGTACTCCACTTGACCTCACATGTGCCTCTGCTCCTACATATGTTCCTCAGCTTCAAGATGTGTCCCCTTGACCCTGAGGGTGTTCCCTTCGATCTCGCTATAGATCCTCGACTTTTGAGGAGACTAATGACTAACAACTAAGCAGTCTAAGTTAGAGTAAGGACTGTGAGGATACTCTGCATAAAGTAGTCAGAATGACAAATTGACTTGGACGCTCAACCAGAGAGAATCAGACACGTGGCGTAAGGTATAGGGTAAGAGGTAAAAAGATGGGACTACCCCTGTTGATATGCAGCTAATAGAGACGGGCATTTAATGCATCATTAGTTGATAAGACATCTAGCATGGCTTGATAATCCAAGAAGTAAAAGCATTAAATACTTTGGGATCCGAGCATTCAATGCCTCAACATTGAAGAAAGAGCATTGAATGTTCAACAGTGCGAAGCAATTAAGATGGAGACATTTCTTATAAAAAGTATGGGGCGCACTATCCCATCTCTGAAGGCTACCTACCGCCTAGACTACCGGCAATGATGAATTTTGGAAGGTATAAATAGTCTATAAGAACACATTGTAAAGGTATGCGAATTGATCTCTTAAGAACCCCAAATAGTGCTTTCTTCTTTCTCTCTCTCAAAAAATTGACTTGATCGTCAGAGGGGATACGCTAGAAAACACTCCGGTGCCCTTCTAACTCATTTTTTGTGTTTCAGGAGGCCCTCACGAGCCATCAGGATCGGTTCGACAGCACCAGAAGCAATTCATCACCAGTCCTTAGGCACCCTTTGACCCTCTCAATCTATTTCCTTGTTCCCGGATCCACCATTCTAACGGGTCGAACCTCACCATGGGAGAGATCTATTCTCATTTCAACTATTGTGCAGAAATTTCCCTGTATAATTTGGTGTTGCCTGTGGGAAACGACTAGGTTTTTCAAAGAAGAGTGACCATGGTGGATACTCGACCAAAGGGGAAGGGTCCTTAACAAAGAGATAGCAGTTTACCAGTCCCTACTTGTTCGAAAACGAGGAACTAAATCGAAAGTGCCAACAAAGAACTCACCATTTATACGAAGGAACATACCCACCAAACTAGTATGGGTATCAAGTCTGGAGGATCCGCCCCACTATCCCGTCAACTGGTTGAGGTCATCGAAGAAAAGTTTCGGGACTGATTACGATAGTTGGAGGAGGACAACGTGAATGTCCTCAACGGCCTCGATGAGTTTGCAGCCTCTGGCAGAGGATCACAAAATTCTCTCCGATCCCGGGAGTCTTCCATCAGGGAGGTAGAGCCTGAGGATTTGAGAAATTGCTTAAGCAACAGAGCGGGAAGCTCCAAGGCTCCAAAGGGCTCGAGGGCCAAGGGATAGCTCCCGGAGGTTCCGGTTAAACGGGCTAGGCCGTTGGCTTAGGATGACCTCCGCTAGGGACTGTCTAGGTGAGGGGGCATGGAGGAGTTCGAGGGGTCGACTCTCTCTGTCAGGCATGAGATGAGGGATCATGCCATCCAGCGCCAAACACACAAAAAGACACTCCTCGAGCAAGGGGACGATCTCAGAGTTCGATTGGATTCCAGGAGAAGGGATAAAGCCCTACAGGAGGATGATACTGATGATGAATCCATCCAGTCGCCTTTTATTAGGAGTATTATAGAGATGGAGATACCAAAGAAGTTCACGGTGCCCAGGTTTAAAACTTATGACAGACGATCTGACCCCAAAGCTCACATTAGACAATACAAGCAGATGATGTCTCTATATCACTCAGACCATCGGCTTTTATACTGAGTGTTTTCAATAAGCCTGGGGGACTCTGCCATAAAATGATTTGAGTCATTTCCACCCAACAGTATAGGATCATGGAGGGAGTTGACAAGACAATTCTCCACCTGGTTCATCAAAGGGAGTAGACAACCCAAGGAAGTGGGGGCCCTACTAACACTAAGGCGGAAGGAAGGGGAATCCGTTCATCAATACGTCGCTCGCTACTGGGAGGAGTTAAACGAGGTGGAAGGATGCTCTGAAGTCACGGCGACCGCCTCTTTCAGGATTGGCCTCTCTCGAGACACCGATCTTTATCGATCCTTAACCAAAAAAATGCTGGCCGATATGGGAGAGCTGATGGCCCGGATAGACAAGTATTCCCGTATCAAGGACGAGGTAATGGGGGGTAAAGGGAAGATGGTCGCCCTAAGGAACAAGGAAAATGAGAGCAAGGGCGCCCCCTCTCGGAAAGGGTTAGTGCCCCCAACAGAAAATTCCTTTAAAAGGGTCCACACCATGTTCAAGGAACCCATTTACAAGTTGCTTCATAAGATCAAGAAGGAATTCTTCTTTAAATAGCCGCCCAAGATGCAAGGTGATCCTTTCACACGGAATCAGAAAGTGAAATGCTCGTACCATCAGGACTTTGGGTACCTCACTAAAGATTGTAGGGTCTACAAGTCTTTCTTGGATAGGTTGGTGCAGGAAGGGCATTTGAAGGAATACATCGAGAAACCAACCCCTGGGGAGGCCCACGACACCAATAATCAAACTGTCGTCCGAGGCAATGTAATAGACGTCATCCATGTCTGTCCGCTGGAGCGTCCAATGTCCAAAACACCTGATCTAAAGAGAATAGTTTTCATAAGAAAAGTAGACAAGACTGAAGGGAGCTAGCTAAGCAAGAGGTCCTGAATTAACAAAGGTGACATCACTTTCTCTGACACCAACCTAGTAGGAGTGGTCCTCCCTCACGAGGATGCCTTGATCCTAACTTTGAGAATTGGCAACTTTGATGTCAAAAGGGTCTTGGTCGACTCCGGGAGCTCCTCTGAAGTGATGTACTTTGAAGTCTTAAAGTGCATGAAACTTGGCACCCAGGACCTTGCCAAGGTTAATACACCCCTCATGGGATTCAATGGCTCTTATGCCCTGCCCTTGGAAACAATCACACTCCTAGTCACCACAGGGTCCATCACGACCAACACAGAGTTTGTGGTGATTGATTCTGACTCACCTTACAACATTATCAAGGGGCGGGCTTAGCTGCATTCTCTTGGAGTTGTGCATTCAACTTATCACCAAAAATTGAAGTTCCCCACCCCGGAGGGAGTAAGAGAAATCTGTGGGGATCAAGCGTCTGCCAAAAATTGTTTCTATTCTGCCGTAAGGGCAGGGGTCACCTCCAAAGAGAAAGAGCGAGCCCCAGAAGAGATCTTGAACAAATGGCAATTACAGTCTGGGCGTCTAGGAATAGACAACCCCCGAACGGATCTGACCGACCGCTCAGTAAAGGACCTCCGCAAGGTACTACTAGTGGACGGAGAAGAGGAAAAATACTTCCTGATTGGCTCTCGGTCGACCAGGAGGAGATGACCAACTTTTTAAGGCGGAATGCAGATGTGTTTGCCTGGAGCGCGATGGAAATGAAGGGCGTAAGCCCCGAAATGATAACTCACAGACTTCATGTCGATCCCACTCACAAACCAGTAAAGCAGAAACCACGGCACACGACACCACACCACGCCCAAGCAGTAAACGAGGAGATGGATAAGCTCCTAGAAGTCTACACTATCTGGGAGGTCCAATTCCCATAATGGTTGTCAAATACTGTCTGTGCAAAAACAAAGGAGGGAAAGTTGCGCGTTTGCTTGGACTTCATTGATTTGAACAATACATGTCCCAAGGACGACTTCCCTTTTCCCAAGGTGTACCAACTGGTGGACGCCATGACAGGACACCAGCGGATGGCCTTCCTAGATGCCAGGGCGGGCTATTATCAGATCCCTCTCCATTTGTCAGACTAGAAGAAGACTACCTTCATCACTACAAGGGGAGTTTATTGTTACAAGGTCATGCCTTTTGGCTTAAAAAACACGAGAGCCATCTATCAAAGGCTTATGAACCGGATGTTCAAACGACAACTGAGAAACACCATGGAGGTCTATATTGATGACATGTTGGTCAAAAGCAAGAGAAGCGAAGATCACTTAACGAATTTGGAAGAAACTTTCTCGACCCTTCGGGAATATGAGTTAAAGTTAAATGCCACAAAATGTGTCTTCGAAGTTGGGTCCAAAAAATTCCTCGGGTACTTGGTGAGTCAGTGAGGAGTCGGAAGCTAACCCAGAACAGTTACAAGCCATCGTGGACGTACGCAGTCCTCGAATGGTCCAAG